CCCTAGTCCTGCTGGCCACACTGGTGCTGATCCAGGCCAGGATGCTGGTGGCCTTCCTGGCCACCTGGGCACACACTGTCCCATCTCCTGCTGCCTGTTGACCAACACACCCAGGTCCTTTTCCACCACAGAACAAATGTCAGGGAACAAAAGCTTCCTTGGGTCCCATTTCTGTGGGGGTTTAATCAGACCCATCCACACCCCAACACAGGAGCTCTGTTGTTAGCAGAGCTCTTGGAGCTGTAGAGGGCTGGCCCCAGAAGACAAATCCCTGCGTGGTGCCCAAGTCCTGTTTCTTCCAGGTCAGCAAACACCTGAGAGGTGAAGTTGGTCTCCTGTTCACCAACCGCACCAAGGAGGAGGTGGATGAGTGAGTACTGGCAGCTGGGGAGCTGGATTCTGAACTGCTGAGCAGCTTCTTCTCCACTCAGCTCCTTCCCTTGCTGGTGTTTCCCTTCCAGCAGGGATGACACCACTGCTCTCATTTTTCTCTGCCACCCCCGTGACAGTGGGGACAGGTTACGGTGGGTTTGGCCCAGGGGTTGATCTTTCCACAGCCAAAGCTCTGGTTGCCCCTCTCAGGTGGTTCTCCAAATTCAGAGAGCTGGACTTTGCCCGGGCGGGGAACAAGGCGACGTGCACGGTGAGCCTGGACACGGGGCCCCTGGAGCAGTTCCCCCACTCCATGGAGCCTCAGCTGCGGCAGCTGGGGCTGCCCACGGCCCTGAAGAAAGGTGTGTGAGGGCATGGGCTGCTTCTCTGCACAGAGAGCTGCTAAGGGGAATGCTAAATAATCACTTTTCAGCTCAAATCCAACCCTTCCCTCAGCACTGCCAGGTCCCCACTGCCCCGTGTCCCTCACACCACATCTCCACAGCTTGGAAACCTCTCTAGGGGTGGGGACTCCACCACTGCCCTGGGCAGCCCTTTAGGGGAAGAAATCTTCCCTCATGTCCCACCTAAACCTCCCCTGGTGCAGCTTGAGGCTGTTTCCTCTTGTGCTATCAAAGGAACGTCAGTATCTTGCACCATTCTTCCCAACCTGATGTCAAAGGATGAGTAAAACAACCAACTTTCTACACAGTACTGGCCTTTCTCAGTGGAAACAACTCAGCCAGCATGCTCAGAAAACAGAATTGGGGTTGTCTTTTGACCCAGCTCCTTGGGCTGTACAGTATTTGCACAGGAAGGCAGGAGCCACACAGGGTGGTATGTGAGGGAGTTGTAGCTCAGGCCTATCCAGCACTTGGGAGCCTTTCTCAAGAGCCTTTTTTCCTGCAGGAGTGGTGACACTGCTTTCAGATTATGAAGTCTGCAAAGAAGGGGATGTTCTCACACCAGAACAAGCCCGTGTCCTGGTGAGTGAGGTCCTGAGCAAGGCAGCTGCCTGAGCCCCTCTCCCCCCAGTGCAGCATAACCAACTCTTGGGTTTAAATCCCCTGGAGGATCCGAGTTCTCCTTCTGGGTGTCAATCAGAGGGGTGCAGCAAACATCCTTAAGTGTTCCTGACATGACTGCTGAAACTCTGCAGCTGTGTTTTGGCTTCTGCTTTGCTGCAGTTCCCATTTGGAAGCAGTACTTAAAAAGATCTGGAACTTACACAAAATCTGGAAGTAGTATTTACACAGAAAGTGTTTTGCCAGGCTGGCCGTGGAGCCAG